CATCCTACAATGCATAGGAGAGCCACTCACAACAAAGAATTATCTGCCCAAAATGTCAATAGTGCCAAGGTTAAGAAACAGTGGTCTACAGACATCAAAAAACTTTCTTCTAGAGATTTGCAATTACTTTTATATAGAATAATCTAGATCAAGGGCTGAGCCCGTGGCGCACTCAGGAGAGTGTGGCACTGGGAGCGCAGCAGCGCTCCCACCGCGGGTTCGGATCCTATATAGGGATGGCCGGTGCACTCACTGGCTGAGCGCCGTGCGGCCGATCACAAAAAAAGACAAAAAAAGAAATACTAGGCTTGAGTTAAAAGGTGGCAGCATACTGGGGTTCAGGAATAGTTGGTTTTTCCTTAAATTCATAAAATTTAAAGTGACAAGATACAAAAACTTACTTAAATGCTGAAAGAAACCTTAATGTACAATAGTAATTTTCATGATACCAAATTGTTTATGCCATAGATTTTAACATTCCCTATGAGAATACTAGGAAATGTTTTGTTTCCTTTTTTGTCTTTTTTCGTGACCGGTAACAGGATTGCAACCCTTGGTGTCGCGCCCACACCGCGACCGGCAACAGGATTGCAACCCTTGGTGTCGCACCCGCACAGCGCCCAACCAGTGAGAAGACCGGTTTCTACATGGAATCCAAACCCTCGGCGGGAGTGCCGCCACGCACCCAAGCGCTGCACTCTACCGACTGCGCCACTGGGCCGGCCCCTAGAAAATGTTACTAAAGTGCAGCTACAGTATGAAAAAATTATAGGTGCCAGATAACATAACATAAGAATAAGCAAGAGTATGTGCACTGATTTAAAGGCATTTTACTTCACTGAGCCTCAAATTTCAAAATATTTTGCATTTTGAAATGCAAGTATATATTTAAATTAATTATAGGTAATAATTAGTTTAAACTAACGATTAAATTAGATTCTGTTTAAACCTTTATCCAGTAATACAAACCAGGCTCAGTTATTTTTAAATAATTAAAAGTATGCCTATCCTTGACAAGTCATGACAGTGTGATGCAATATAAACAAAAGCACGCCTAGATCCAAATCCCAAAGCTATATCTTTGCAGACAAATAATCTAACTTCTCTGAATCTCAATTCTCTCATATGAGAAAAAGGAAATCTAATTCAAATATCTGTTCTTAAGAATTAGCAATAATGGGGCCCGGCCCGGTGGCGCACTGCTACAGTGCGCCGCTTGGGAGTGTGGCGGCGCTCCCGCCGAGGGTTCAGATCCCACGTACAGACCAGCCGCTCACTGGCTGAGCGAGGTGCGGGCGCGACACCGAGGGTTGCGATCCCGTTGCCGGTCCTGGTCCAGTACGGGCGCAACACTGAGGGTTGTGATCCATTGCCGGTCACGAAAAAAGACAAAAAGGAAAAAAAAAAAAAAGAATTAGCAATAATGTATAAACAAACAATACTGGGACCCATTCTACAAATGACAATTAATTGTTCACAGCAGCAGTAATTGATAATAAGAAAATAATACAACCTATGAATAAAATAAAGATTATGGTTTTATATCCTCACAAATCAACAATTCACCTATGTAATTCAACTCAGAAAATAAGTATAAAATTGGGGCCGGCCCGGTGGCGCACTGGATAGTGCGCCGCTTGGGAAGCGCGGCTGCGGCCCGGTGGCGCACTGGATAGTGCGCCGCTTGGGAAGCGCGGCTGGTGCTCCCGTCCAAGGGTTCGGATCCCACATACAGACCGGCTCCCGCTCACTGGCTGAATCATTAACATGTGACAATGAAAGTAGTGAAGAAAAGTTTCTCCGCTTCCTCTAACTTTTTCAAACACTGAGGCGATTCATTTCTGCTTGATTCTATTTTTTTTCTCACTTCTAGGCTGCCTTTTGTGCAAAGTTCTCAGAATTGAAGAATAATCCAAGCGGCACACTGTAGCAATGCGCCACCGGGCCGGCCCGATTTTACCAATTTCTCACGAATCTTTCCTACACGGGCAAATACACATATTTCTTCTTCCTTTTGGCACAAATAGTGGTCTTCTCCACATTATTCGGCACCGTGCTTTTCATATGTGTCTTGGAGGCTATATTTTAATCAATATGCTCTAAGATTGGCTGCTTATAAGCTCTCATAACCAGAATTCAGCAAATGTCAGCTATCTTTACAAAGGCACTTAAAAGGCCAAAAACAGACCTTAAATCAACCAGTATTCTTAGTCAACAAAAGCATATGAAATAAACTTTGGATAAAGTGGAGATTTACATAAGGTGACATGATGAAATACTTGATTACTTGATATATCATTCAAAATACTGCATTTACACACTTAAAAAGGAAACATATAGACTGCCCTACAAGTTCTTCAACGAGTTCAAAATAATCAACATAATCCACTTATAGAATGAGGCCTACTAAAATACCAATGAAAGAAAATATTGGTAAAAATAAAGCTGTTTATTGGTTATATTTATTCCAAGACTAAATTATCTGATCCTCTCCTAAATGTTCTTTGCAACTTACTTTCCTGGAAGAAGTTTCCTTCCAGATTTATAAAGGTACTCTTCTTTAAAGAATAACTTGTCTGTTTGCATATCCTGTATTCTTCCTCTGAAACACTATGACACTTATTTGAAGTAAGCCTTCATCATCCCTTACGTATAAAGAGCAATATTATCAGGGCCGGCCCGTGGCTCACTTGGGAGAGTGTGGTGCTGCTAACACCAAGGCCACGGGTTTGGATCCCATATAGGGATGGCCGGTTAGCTCACTTGGTAGAGCATGGTGCTGACAACACCAAGTCAAGGGTTAAGAACCCCTTACCGGTCATCCTTTAAAAAAAAAAAAAAGCAATATTATCTTAATATGCATTACTAGAGCAACACAAGTATTTCTGGTAATCTTCAACTTAAGCACTAAGAATATCATGGTAAAAAGTCATCTCATATAAAGAAGAGAGACCATATGTACTACCAAAGCAGTAACTTACCACTTTTAAATAACAGAAAATAAAGCATTAGAATTCTATTGTAGGGCAGGCCAGTGGTTCACTCGGGAGAGTGTGGTGCTGATAACACCAAGGCCACAGGTTTGGATCCCTACAAAGGGATGGCCGGTGAGCTCACTTGTAGAGCATGGTGCTGACAACACTAAGTCAAGGGTTAAGATCCCCTTACCGGTCTTTAAAAAAAAAAAAAAAAAAAAAAAAAGAATTCTATTGTTACAGGTGTGTATAACAATATTATAGAAGAAATGTTTTATGCTGTTGGCAACAATACTAGTTGCAATCTTTCATTAGGAAAAATATGTTAACTACCTTGGAGTACATTTACTTATTAAATAAAAAGTTAAAATCGCTGTTTCACTGTATATCAGTACAGACATTAAAGATTCTACTTATGCATTGTACCATAAAAATACAAAGTCATCCTTCCATTCAGAGTTTTGGCATATGAACAAATAGAAAGGTCAGAGTTCATACACATGCTCTGTGAAACTCATCATTACTTATACACTACTACATTCAATAAGTCTGCTAGTATTTGTCATTTCTGAATTTTAAATAATTATTTTCTCCATGCCTACTTGGAAAGATATAGGATCATTGTAGACTCAGTGGAATAAATAAAGCTTAAGTGCTCTCAGATTTATCAATTACTCATCACATACATAGAATGTTGAAATTCACAAATTATTATTGACATTATCAAAGTACCAACCACAAGAGAAAAACACAAAAGCCAATGATACATTCAATAACAGTATGTGAATCTTGAAAGTAATAATCATTTTCAGTATTTCTTTCTGTTAAATTCAAAGGAGAAAAACAACCTGGCATTCTTGATTATTTTTGGTATGAAAAACTGTATTAACACTTTCATAGTTTTGAGTCATATTACTAGAGCATTTTGCATATTTTGTACAAATAAATGTGGCCAGCACTAGTGTATCTAAATTCTGCAGGACTCAACAGCAACTGGAGACAAATTTTTAAATAATGTATGATATGTGAGGATATGATATTATGTCGGGACAAACCTACTCACTTATTAAGAAGACATAACAATGTGCCAATCTGGTAAAATCCCACGTTTTTAATAGGCTTATTTTTCAAAAGTAAGATCAAGTTATCTATGAGGGACATCATAATGAAGTTTCACAGCACAATACGAGTCACAGAGGTATTGTCTTAGGAGAGACTCTGACCTGTAACTTGTAAACCGTATTTTGAAATAAGCTACCCATACAATCCACTATTTTTTCCTAGTTAAAAATATTTAAATCCTTTTAATACACCAAACTTGCCTTTGCCCAGTCAAAAAGCTCTAGCTGTTTATAAAGAGGCCTAGGAATTGCGGGGTAGGTGGAAAGATGATCTAATTTGGAATTAATTTCCTATCTCAGGTGAAAATTCCCTAATCACCCCCTTCCAATAAAACAGTATCCCATTATACCTCCCCTTGTCTCCAACACTAAGGAGTAACCCTGAATGTCCTCCTTCCATTAATACCTAAGGACTCTCATCGTTCCTTCCCTGATGAAAGGATAGTGAAGGCCTGACAGGCAATAACCTAGAATACCCTTAAAAGTGTGGGCCTTTGAGAAGCGCTGCTTTCCGGATCCAGTTACCACCTTTCCCCTTCCCCCAATCCACTTCCCGGGTTTTCTCAGGCTCGGCCTGCTCCCTCCCTACCCCACAGACACGCTTCCAGCTGTTGGCACCGCCTCGGGGTTCTTTCTAGAGCCCGCATCCCGCAGAGGAGTGCCCCCGATCCATCTGCCCCCCAAACCGTGTTCCTCCCCAGACCACCCGTGCACGAGATCGTCCATCCCAGGGCCCTGGAAAGGGAGGGGAAGGCGGCGGAAGGAGGGGGAGACTGCTGCTTCCCCACAGGCAGAAGGGCGGCCGCAGGCAGGTCCAGCCGGGGGCTGCCAGGGATATCGGGGCCGCCACTGCGAGGACCCTCCCGCCCGGGTCTGGGGGGGTGTCCGGGAGTTCATTTCTGACCTCCTCGCTCTTCAGCACCTCCTTGAACTCCCGCTTGATTCGCTGCACCGCGATGTTGGCCATGTCTCCGCCCGCAGCTGATTCGTACCCGCCTCCTCCGCCACCGCTACGACCACCGCCGCCGCCGCCGCCACCTCTTCCTCCACCGCCTCCTCCCTCGGCGATTCAGACCCGAGGACACGAATGCTGCCACTGCCACCCCCGGCCGCCGCGCTCTCCTCAGTGTGGAATCACCTCGGCGCCCGGCCACCAAAATGGCGCCGGGTCCGCGCATGCGCACGACGCTGACCCGGCCCGGCGGCGCAGCCGCTCCCGTCGTAGGTCCGCACAACTCATCCGCCAGCGCGCCCCGCGCCGCGCGTCTCAGCCGGAGCTGCGGCCGCGCGGCCCCGCCCTGCCGGCGTCTGTGGTCGGGAGGGTGCGGCTTCCGCGCTGGCCAGTCCTGCCCGGGCCTCCCGGGTCCTCCCCTGCGCCTTCACCCCTCTTTGTACCCGTGTGATCCGGTCCGGGCTTCCAGGCTCAGACCGAAGGCTTCAGTCCAACGTGACGAGCTCCCGGGGCCCTTGCCGGCTGGAGTTCGCCCTGACTCAGCAGACCCAGAACCCACTGGTTTGGTGTGCCCCGCTGTGTCTAGCGTGTGAAAGCTATCCCGGAACTCGGTCCGGCCCGTTTTCGGTCGGTATAGCCCCAGAAAATCCACCGTGATCGTTTCTGTTCTGGAACCATTACAGTTCCACTGTTATGTCAGTAATCTCAGGTACTACAGATTATAGAATCAAGGATGGTCACTGTTAGATCTCATCAGGTGTACTCGAGACAGGAACTCCACGGAGAGGCCTGAGGTAGGATTAGAAGCCAGATGTTCATCTTTGACCTATGTTGATATCCTGAGCTGTGGAACTAAAACCTTGGTTTTCAAACTTGAGTATGCATCAGAATCCCTGGAGAGCTTGTTAAAAAACAAACAAAAAAACAGATTGCTGGGTCCCATCCCTAGAATGTGGGATGGGCCTAAGAATTTACGTCTCTAACAAGCTCCCTGCTGCTGCCGCTGCCGCCGCCAGTATCAAGGATCACACTGTGAGAACCACTGGACGAAGACGTGAAAATTCGTATATATTAAAGTGGAAATTGGAGGAATAGCAGCTTCTTGAGGCCACGGGGTGGGGGAGGGAAGAGCTTTACTTCTGTAAGCCTAGGGCCTACAAAGGTGTCTGATGCTAGTAGGCACTCATTACATTAAATATTGAATGAATAAATGAGTAAAGGTAAGAGTCAAAAAAAAAAAGACACAGGACTGGCCGGTTGGTTCAGTTGGTTAGAACACAGATTGTAACACCAGGTTCGAGGGTTCGAATGCCTATACAGGCCAGCCGCAAAAAATGAAAGATAAGTCAAATGCTTTACGTACAAGGTAACTTTGAAAGGCAATGTGAAAGTGGTTGCTAGAGTTTACAGTAAGTCGTACAGTTTTGGTGCCAAGAGGTACTTTGAATAGAACATTTTGGAATAAGTAATAAAGGTGTTGTTTTAGAAGTTTATACTCCATCAACTTCTAACCTGACCAATCAGTAAAACATACTACTATAAAAATATCACAAATGTATGGTCTTAGTAAAAGTAGCTAAAATTGTAGCTGCAAAAAGGGTAACAGCTACTGGTAGTGAATCATTCGGTGTAGGCACGTGGCAAAAGGGAATTTATTGAACTTCTGTCCTGGGAACCAAGGGGAGATTTTTTCGTTTCAGTTCTATCCCAGGCCAGCTCTCTTGGCCAGCTTTGGTTTCCTCATCTGCGAAGTAAAGAAGCTGGATTAGGTTATCTCTTTCAAGTTTTAAGAGTTTAGAATTCTAATATATCATCTCAAAACATTTCCCCAAGTGGACTGACATAAATTATAAAAACCCTTCTAGCAGAGCCCCCTAGTGGTCCTAAGAGGAGTCAACTATACTGGTGTACAGTACAAACGTCATGGTACAGTGAATTACTGGTATAATGTAAATCATGCAATTCTGTATGTATTTGTGCCGGTACTTTCTAAAAATCTTTTTGTGCCGGTATATAAAGCAAATTATTTTGAGGTGTGCAAGCAAATTTTTGAGTGCTTTACATTTATCACTTTCATTCAGTCCCCAATCCTGATCATGAAACTGAAGAAACTTGCAGCACTCACATCACAGGGGAACAGTTAGAAGGAACTGGTCATTTCTACTGAGGAAGAGGAGTTTAGTAATTTTTTTTTTTTAAAGGATGACCGGTAAGGGGATCTTAACCCTTGACTTGGTGTTGTCAGCACCACGCTCTCCGAAGTGAGCTAACTGGCCACTCCTATATAGAGATCCAAACCCATGGCCTTGGTGTTACCAGCACCACACTCTCCCAAGTGAGCCAGGGGCCAGCCCCGGTTTTAGTAATTTTTAAATGCACATAGCCATTAACTCTGCAATTCCGCTTCTAGGAATTCATTCTACAGTCTTTCCGGAGAATGAGACAATTGCCTATTAATTGATAAGAGACAATCTTCAAGATACTTTTTTTTAAGCACTAGCCAAGTGCGGTAGTGAGAAGGTGGGAAAGAGTAGAACAAACAGTTCAATCTGTAACTGACTGTGAACAATCAATTAAGAAAACTCACTACCTTCAGACCAGCCAAGAGTTTTTCACATTTTAAGTGAAAAAAAGCACCATGCTAAATACAATTTGTTATCCTAGATTGGATCCTAGAACCGAAAGGAAAGAACTAGTGAAATCTGAATAAGTTCTGTAATTTAGTTAATAGTCTGTAGCGATGTTAATTTCTCAATTTTAACAGCATTATGGTTGCATAAGGTGTTAACATTAGTGGAAGCTGAGGAAAGAATATACAAGAATCTCTGTAGTATCTTTGCAACTTTTCTGTAAATCTAAAATTATTCCAAAACAAAAAGTTCACTTTTCAAAAAACACTATGCAGTCCATATTGTGTATAGTATGTAACCATATGTGTGAGAGAAGAAATGAATGTGCTTGTGTATATAATGCTTGTGAACCCATAAAATATTGCTGGAAAATTCATAAAAAACTGACAATAGTGGTTATCTCTGAGAAAGTAATTTAAGGCTTTGGGGGAAGCAAAATAGGAGACTTTTCACCTTCTATCCTGTTGTATATTTTACCTATTAAAAAATAAATTTTTGGGCTGGCCCGTGGCTTACTCGGGTGAGTGCAGTGCTAATAACACCAAGGCCCCGGGTTCGGATCCCATATAGGGATGGCCGGTTAGCTCGCTGGCTGAGCGTGGTGCTGACACCACCAAGTCAAGGGTTAAGATCCCCTTACCGGTCATCTTTTAAAAAAATAAAATAAAATAAATAAATAAATTTTCAGGGCTGGCAACTTAGCTGAGTTGGCTAGAGAGGATTGTTATAACACTAAGGTCAAGGGTTCAGATCCCAGTACCGGCCAGCCACCAAAAATAAATAAATAATTAAAATTTCAAAAATGAGTTTCCAATGATGCATATCAGAGGCTCTTCTGATTAACTCCATTAACAAATTAATTAGGGCCGGCCCGTGGCTCACTCGGGAGAGTGCGGTGCTGATAACACCAAGGCCACGGGTTCGGATCCCATATAGGCATGGCCGGTTAGCTCACTGGCTGAGCCTGGTGCTGACAACACCAAGTCAAGGGTTAAGATCCCCTTACCGGTCATCTTTAAAAAAAAAAAAAAACAAATTAATTAAATGAGTGTTTATTGAATGCCTACTATATGCCATGCATGATCTAGGCCCTGGAGGCATATCACTGAACAAGAGATAAAAACCCCTGGAATTGTGGAATTTACATTCTAGCAGAAATGGAGAGAATTAATCTCAGACGATAATAGGCAGACATCTGGGGAATCCCTGAGATGTTTTAGGGGGTTGATCTGCCATTCCTGTTGCACCAGTGTTTCAAAACAATAGTGGGTAGGGCCGGCCCGTGGCTCACTCGGGAGAGTGTGGTGCTGATAACACCAAGACCATGGGTTCGGATCCCATATAGGGATGGCCAGTTCGCTCACTTGGGAGAGCGTGGGGCTGACAACACCAAGTCAAGGGTTAAGATCCCCTTACCAGTCATCTTTTAAAAAAAAAAAAAAAAAATAGGCAGACATCTGGGGAATCCCTGAGATGTTTTAGGGGGTTGATCTGCCATGCCTGTTGCACCAGTGTTTCAAAACAATAGTGGGTAGGGCCGGCCTGTGGCTCACTGGGGAGAGTGCAGTGCTGATAACACCAAGGCCACGGGTTCGAATCCCATATACGGATGGCCGGTTTGCTCACTGGGTAAGCGTGGTGCTGACAACACCAAGTCAAGGGTTAAGATCCCCTTACCGGTCATCTTTAAAAAAAAAAAAAAATAGTGGGCAAACTAATGTACAGTTACTTTACTAGTAACAATTATGTTAATGCCACACACTCACTGTTTTAAAAATGCCAGTTGTACTTCAGAGTGTCCTTGATGAAGCAGTAGAAATTATTAATTTTATTAAGCCTCAATATATGAGTACAAGTGTTCTTGATATTCTGTGTGATAAGATGAGAAGTATACTACATGGTAAAGCACTTTTGCATTTGGTTGAATTGCGAGCTGAACTAACCACTTTATTCATGAAACACCCATTTTTACTTGAGATAATGATTGAAAGAAGCTATGTTTATGTAGACTTGAGTATTTGGCAGATATTTCATCAAATACGAATTAGGTGAGCCTGTCATTTCAGGAAAACAACTGACAGATTTTGTTGCCAATGATAAAATTCAACTTTCAACTAAAAATTAGAATTTTTTTTTCCTTTTTGTCTTTTTTTTTTACTGACCGGTAACGGGATCACAACCCTCGGTGTCGCGCCCGTACCGGGGACCAGCAACGGGATCGCAACCTTCGGTGTTGCGCCCGCACCGCGCTCAGCCAGTGAGCGGGAACCGGTCTCCACATGGGATCCGAACCCTCGGTGGGAGCGCCGCCGCGCTCCCAAGTGGCACACTCTCCAGTGCACCACCGGGCCGGCTCTAAAAATTAGAATTTTAGAAAACATTTGCTACCATGATTTGACCGCTCCCAATACTTACAGAATTTTCTGATGAAATTGATGGTGGTAATAACAAACGTGATTGTTTGATATTGAGCAATGAAATGTGTCAACATTTGGAAGAGCTGCGTAAATCAGTGAACCAATATTTTCCAAATGAAAAATGCATTATGTTACAAAATCACGCATTGGTAAAAGATCCATTCAAGGTTTAAGACCGGCCAATGGATTTTTTTTTTTTGTCCTTTTTTTTTTTGTCTTTTTTCGTGACCGGCAACAGATCACAACCCTCAGTGTCGCGCCCGT